TGTAAAACAAAACAAAACAAATTTGCTTATTTTATAAATAAAAGTTCGTGGATTTTTAAAATGATCAAAAATCGAATTGTGTTAGATGCAAAATTTTGTAAATTCGATCATCCATAAAACTTCTTTGGGGTCACGCGAGGTTCCACAAAATTTTGGACCCGATCGGTTCAGCCGTTTTGACGTTTATTGGATACAAACAGACAAACGATTAGACAGACACTCAAACAATGTATATAGATAGATATATCCCATAAACATAAAATTAAGAATATCAGGATCAAACTAAGATCGCTAATTTTAGCATCTGTAAGATGGTTTATCATGCAATAAAGGTGGGTTCAAAAATAGCAAATCCGGGCTAATACAGGACGGGACAAACACAAACATTGAGCCAATGATCCGAAAACCTCCATATCAAATAAGCATCTTTTCATTATTTTATAAATATACACTGCAAAAAAACCTACTTTTGATTTGTCCCGTAAAATATGTTTTATCACAAACTTACAAACAAACCAGTCAACCGACATTCCGTAGAAGTCAGGGCTTAACTATCTTTCATCATTTTAATAGGACGACCCCAACCTTAGGATTTGGTCTGACGGTGTATATACCATGGTATATACCATATATATGTATATACCATGGGTGCTGGGTATATTCACAGAGTCATTTACCCAAGGGTGACTTCCCAAGTGGCAACTTCCCAAATGTGCAATTTCCCGAAAGTTAAGTTAGGTCCTTTGAGGCGCCTCAGGCTGCAATGGGGGGGGGCACTGCGGCTAGTATGGGATATTTGCCGCTTGGGAAATTGCACATTTGGGAAATTGCCACTTGGGAAAATACCCTTGGGAAGTACCTAACATCATACCATTTATGTGGTTTGGGGAAACATATATTTCTTATCCTGAGAGGAAAATTCAGAAACACTTCGGACAACTCGTGGAACTAGAAAAATACTTCGGACAACTCGTGAAACTAGAAGAATACTTCGGACAACTCGTGGAACTAGAAGAATACTTCGGAAATCTCGTGGAACTAGAAGAATACTTCGGACATCTCGTGGAACTAGAAGAATACTTCGGACAACTCCTGGAACTAGAAGAATACTTCGGACATCTCGTGGAACTAGAAGAATACTTCGGACAACTCGTGGAACTAGAAGAATACTTCGGACATCTTGTGGAACTAGAAGATTACTTCGGACATCTCGTGGAACTAGAAGAATACTTTGGACATCTCGTGGAACTAGAAGAATACTTCGGACATCTCGTGGAACTAGAAGAATACTTCGGACAACTCGTGGAACTAGAAGAATACTTGCAGGATTTGGAAAAACACTTTTATTTTGACGTTCAGAAATTTTTAATAATCCGCAAAACCCAGCTTCACAGGGAATGTAGACCAAATTTATAAAGTGACATGTCCTAATCACAACGGTACCCGACCCTTAAACCTTATGTCATTAACAATGAAGTAACAATATCGTTGTATCTCTGGAAAAGTGTTAAACTGACTAATTCTTTCCTCCTAAATTAATCTGCAACTGTAGGTCACTTTATGGAGAACCCGCAACTGAAAATAATAAATATTAAGATAGAAAAATAGTTATCACTCCATTGGTTTTGTCTGTTTGTTTGTCCGATCATAACTCAGGAACCCCTGGACAGATTTGCCTCAAAATTTGATTGGGAAACTCAAGAGAACCACGGGAATTTTCTTAGTTTAATTTTAGGATTCTTAGTTGAGTGGGACGATTTTATAATGAAAAGTTAGTTTCCCGGTAAAATCGTCTAAGTGCGGGTAAACGGTGGTAGTATCGAATGAGTACCCTGTGCAACGTCGGGTTCCCAAGCTAGTATATATGTAAATTTTAATTTACCTTTTTTAAGCAATGTTTGCAAACATTTAAATTTTCTTTCTAATTTTAGAAAGTAAAATAAGATTTAGTTTATAGTTTGCAATTTCTGAACTTTTAAACTTTAAATTTTTTTTTATCAAACTCAACACATTTAGGAGTAAAAACGATAAATTGGCGAATAGTGAACTAAAACTATTTAAATTAATCCCGAATAGAAATCAAGCAAACTCTAATAAACTGACTAAATAGGGATTTAACCTCCTTCAACTCAACTATATTCCAGAAAATAATTACTTTTATACATGACAAAGTCGTTAAAAAAATGGAAAACATTAAAAACTACATTTATATTCAGGTTTTCATGTTTCTAGGTTTATTTACATAAAGTAAGTTTTGCCACATATTTATTAGATTAATTTCCGCTCTACTAGGTTTTCATCCATCTATAGATATATACAGGGTTATTCAAGCTTTATACAGGGTTGTTCAAGCTTTATACAGGGTTATTCAAGCTTTATACAGGGTTATTCAAGCTTTATACAGGGTTATTCAAGCTTTATACAGGGTTATTCAAGTTTTATATCAAGCTGTATACGGGGTTAGTCAAGCTTTATACAGGGTTATTCAAGCTCTATACAGGGTTAGTCAAGCTTTATACAGGGTTATTCAAGCTGCTGTATACAGGGTTATTCAAGCTGTATACAGGGTTATTCAAGCTTTATACAGGGTTATTCAAGCTGTATACAGGGTTATTCAAGCTGTATACAGAGTTATTCAAGCTTTATACAGGGTTATTCAAGCTTTATACAGGGCTATTCAAGCTGTATACAGGGTTATTCAAGCTGTATACAGGGTTATTCAAGCTTTATACAGGGGGAGTAAATAAAAAGTGTGATCAGTGTTGTCCTCACCAAAGCACATTTTTCTCATGAAATTCTGGTTGCAATATTTTGGAATATTGTATATTTTTTTTGAAACTCAACTGATACCACAAAAAAAATCCGCGGAATCACACTTGTTTTTACTCACCCAGTATATCATCAGGATTTTGTTAAAAGAGGGCTCACCAGCATGCTCAGGGACGATATATTTGTTTTGTATCTTCATGACAGAAACAAATCTCAAGAACTGAAATGGGTCAACCCACCTATTTTATTTACACTATGAGGGTTGGAGCATCATTAGCACCGAATTTTAAATGATATATGCATGATATATATGGTCATTGGTAATCAGAATACTATATGACTTTTTTATTTGGAGCTAAGAATAAGAATGATCGAATAGATTTTGTGATTCGAAAGTTATTTATCATTAAAAAATGTGCCCAGAGTAGTTTAAAGGTTATAAACAGGACATAAATTACCAAATCATTACTGAGATTTTAGAAATAAAAACTGTTTTCCGGTAACCACTGTACGCTTCATATCATGAAATTAAAAATACATCTATATTTTTAGATATTTATATTTGTTTGTGGAAGAAATAATTATGACGAATTGTGTAGCTTTTAATTAACTAAAAACAGAGTTGTGACAAATCTATGAATAAAAAATCTGTTAATATTTCGATAAATGAATTCATATTTAAAAATATTTGGAAAACATGCTTGAAACTTTGTTGAATTTTTCTTAAGTTCTCGAAGAATCATTTATCATCTTTTAGTTAAAAGCGTCAGACAGAAATTTGTGAAGATCTACATACATACACTCTACACTCTACACTCTACACTCTACACTCTACACTCTACACTCTAAACTCTACATTACACTATACACTATACACTATACACTATACACTATACTCTACACTCTACACTCTACAATCTACAAACAACAATCTACGCTCTAAACTCTACATGCTTTATTTTGAATAATTTTAAATTTAAAACATGTGTGTCAAATCAACCATACATATCTTTAACAAGCATAAATATTGACTGTTAGCAAGGTATTGAATATTTTAAATAATATTGGGTGTGGGGGAGTTGACCAAATTTGAAAAGTGAACTGCACATGATTTCTACAGACTTGTAAATATCAGCAGTATTTCTGTGAAACTCTACTGATAAAATGTTTTCCAATTAAATATAAAAATGATGTATCTAGTGAATTCAATAAAATATTGAAATAAATGGATTCCATCAATACAGGAAACTGTAGTTGTAATTTCAAATGATCCTCCGTTTAATACGGGTAATGCCGATTCACGACGTTACCGTAAAAACCTATTTTTGGTCAATTTTATGAACGATATTGTTGTTTTGAATTTGACAATTTTCCCTATTTCTGCAGCATAAGTCGTCAGGTATCTTATAGATAGCGAATCCACCATGCCATTCTTTCAATAGAAAGTCACTGTAAATTACGGGTTCTGATCCTTTAAATAAAAATATTCTAAATAAACAGGCAGAAAATTGGGTTGTCAAATTTTGCCGACGATGCAGAGATAAAAATCCTCTTAACTCAAAAATCACGTTTATATGAATCTTGAAATATTTTAACCTATTATAAGTAATATAGGCTTCTGGGCGCTTCGCGTTCCTTTTTTAGTAAAAATTCTATTTATTTAATTTACTATTTTGTGGATTTCCCCCCTCATTAAAGGATATAAATTTACGTGCAGAGACAATTTGTCATCTTCGACCTGCCATAAACCTTCCTTAGGATCAATGTGAGATAAAACAAATAGGGCCTGAACGGTTCAGTCGTTTTAGCGTTTATTAGTCACAAACAGACATTTAACAGCTGTTTTACTTTCTTTAAATTTAATAGCGAAAAATGAAATGAATTAGATTTCAAGTTGAGAATGTAAAATTTTGCTCACATTTTTCCTTTTTTTGTGAGGAAAATATATTAAAATTTCTCTTATCTAAATGTGTTTTCAGACTAGATACTTTCTCAACTTATGCAAGCATTTTCACCATAAATAAAAATTTGCATTGCAGACTTTTAGTTTATTAAAATAAGAAGTTCCAAATTAATTTTACAAGTTTGCCTGAGAACTGGGTTGAAAGAGCTGAATTATGTCAGCATACAGCAGAGACAACTATTTATTAATTGACATTTTTTAAATGTAGAAAGTTTTAGCAAAAATGTCATGGGCCGACAAATAATATTGTTTTGTTCTTCAGAGTTTAAAATGTTTTCTAGTCGTCTTAGAGGATATTTGATTGATTGATGGATTGATTGATTTGAAGACTGATTGCTAGAAAATGTCTGCGTATGATGATGATGATCAATATTATGATTATTCCAATTACTCAAACTCCACCAACTCAACATACTTCTCAGAACCTCTTTACGACCCTCCGGTGAGTAATTTTAAGATAAAGGAATTGAGTTCTAGCTACAAACTCTGATTTTCATATCCCTATATCTTTGCAACCCGAAGTTGTAGACTTTTAATATTTCAAACTATGAATTATGTTAGATCAAATAGTTTAAAATAAAAAAGGTTTACACCATCAGGTTGCAAAGATATAGGGATTATAATATTTGAGTTTGTGGCAAAAACTCAATTTTTTAACACATTTCTAAGAGATTGTAAGAGTAATTTCAAGCGACCTGCCTTTTAATAAAACCTTTGACTGATGAAGGATGACAGACTTTTCCTTAATAATCTACTGGAACTCTTGTTATTTCTGAACACTTTGTTTGCAAGCTGTTTTATATTTTAGGAATATTAATATTTAATTTATAAAAGTGGGAGAACATAAATATACTCATTCGGATTATTGAAAACCGCGTTAACAACAGAATATTATGGGTTTTCCGGGAATAAATATGATGGCATGGGGTCACACAGTACGCTTGCGTAAACGCATATTTTAAGGCCATTCAATAAACGTATAAGAGGCATATAAAATACAATAAGTTCTATGTCCTTGATGACTAGTCAAAGGTTTCAAGGGTACTGTTGTGCATCGAGAAGTCCCACTTTAAATAGAAGGTTACTTAGAATTACATGTGCAGTCCCTTTAACACCTTGAACCACTGATTTAACTAAAACGTGATGTTTTGTTTGTTTTACTACCCTCAAATAGAAACTTCCTGTCCTGTCAAATCTTCAAGCAGCAAAGGTTTATATTCTATAATTCGCAGTCTGTTTAGAACATAAATCTTTATACGCTCTGAACCTGAACTATAATCAAATTCACTGAACTTATCTGAAGAGTAAATGTAAATAATTATATCAGACCATTAAACTATTTGTATATACTCACATTCATTTCCGACAATGTTTAGTATAGTACATTATATGTATATATGCAGAGCTTTAGGTCTTATCTAGAATTATTGAATGTATAGCACAGTACAGTACACATATATATACATACAGAGCTTTAGGAATATTCTAGAATTATTGGATGTATAGTACAGTACAGTACACATGTATATACATGCAGAGCTTTAGGAATATTCTAGAATTATTGAATGTATAGTACAGTACAGTACACACATATATACATGCAGAGCTTTAGGAATACTCTAGAATTATTGAATGTATAGTACAGTACAGTACACATATATATACATGCAGAGCTTTAGGAATACTCTAGAATTATTGAATGTATAGTACAGTACAGTACACATATAAATACATGCAGAGCTTTAGGAATATTCTAGAATTATTAAATGTATAGTACAGTACAGTACACACATATATATATATACATGCAGAGGTTTAGGAATACTCTAGAATTATTGAATGTATAGTACAGCACAGTACACATATATATATATACATACAGAGGTTTAGGAATACTCTAGAATTATTGAATGTATAGTAAAGTACAGTACAGTACAGTACACATAAATATGCATGCAAAGCTTTAGGAATATTCTAGAATTATTGAGTCCCAAGGGAAGCCCTTACCGCATAGGATAACAAGCAACAGAGATTAAGAGAAGTGGAAAGAAGAAACAGAAATCTCGAGACTAACATAATCTGGATACTAACATAATCTCGAGACTATGTTAGTCTCGAGATTAAATATTTAGATCAACAAATTTGATACTAAGAACGCCAGATTTGTTCGTTTTCTTGACTGGAAGGGCCTTCACTTAATTTCTCACCTATTTATTTATTAATACACTTAAATTAGTTTTTAAAAATCTCAACCGTATTATTACATATTTTTTCTCACCAATTAATTTACAAAATGGCTAACAACAAAATCTTCATTTCTTTGAAATTGCGGTGGTCTTATTGGATGTCATTGGTCAATACAATTTACGAACTATATTCTTGCACTCTCATTGGAAAAATCCAACGCACGGATATCTAAACAGAGAAAAAAGGAGTGGGTTAAGGACTAAAATATTCGGATTAAGAAGTCGGGATTAAAGGTTATCCATTCTAAAGTTCCCAGCTCAGAACTTGTACAATTTTCAGTTTTGGTTTCTGTGTTCTGTGATTTGCCGATTTATGCTGCTGAATAATTGGGGAATCACATGAGCTAGAGGGGAGGGGGGGGGGATAGAGAAAGAGACAGAGACAGGACGTTTCCGGAAATAAAGGTTGACTAACGATCTTTGGGTTTTAATTGTTAAAATGTGAATATGAGAAAATATGAGAGTATGCGTGGTATAAAATTATACTGGCCCGGCGGGAGGAGAATGCTTTAAGAAAGAAAAAGAACTTGAAGAAAGAATGGATGAAAAGAATTTATAAAAAGATGAAAGACAAGATATTTGTTCAGAATCTAATTCCTGTCTGTCAACTAGTCAGTTGAAGAGAAGAAAGAAAGAAAGGGGGGTATTTAGGACAGTTTACAGAGATAACTCAAAAGTACGTATATGTATAAATTTATTACATACAGGGGGAACGTTAAAACTGTGGAAAAGACAAATGTTTATACCATCAGGTTGAAAAGATATAGAGGTTTTAAAATTTGAAATTGTCGCAAAGACTCATTTCCTTTGATCAAAATTTACATAACTCAGCCCCCTTTAAATTTGACAATAATGGACACCACGCAAAACTTGTAGAATGTTCCCGGGGTTCTGACGAGATCTCTATTGGTCAGGGGTTTGAAGAGTTATGATCGAATATACATAAAATCCACCAATTAAACAGAAGAACTCCTTGAAAATAGATAGGCATATTAATATACTATTTTCTTCATAGAAACAAATTATTATTACATGTGTTTATATATAAATATCAATTTCCAGCCGTATATAATACAGCATTAAGATATATACCATAGTGAATAGAATTGGTTGGTAAAAGTGCCCATTTTCTGTAGGACATGAAACAAATTTCCATATATTTACATAACATTTTTATATAAATATGTATTTATTCAGTACTCAGTATAATACAATGTTGTATGTGCAAATTATTCATGTATTTTTATATCCTAATATCCAAAGACTAATATACCTATTAACTATCCTAATATTCATAGATAAGTATAACTATCCTACTGTCCATAGATATCCTACTATTCATAAACTTTACATCCTACTATCCAATATCCATCCATGTACTAGTATAACTATCCTACTATCCATAGATTATTATATAGATATCCTACTATCCATAGAATAGTGTAGATATCCTACTATTTATAGATTATTATATAGATATCCTACTATTCATAGATTAGTATAACTATCCTACTATCCATAGATAAGTATAACTATCCTGCTATTTATAGATTAGTATAACTATCCCGCTATTTATAGATTAGTATATAGATATCCTAATATCCATAGATGAGTATAACTAACCTACTATCCATAGATGAGCATAACTATTCTACTATTCATAGATTAGTATTGATATTCTTCTATATCCATAGATGAGTATAACTATCCTACTATTCATAGATTAGTATAGATATTCTACTATATCCATAGATGAGTATATGATATCCTACTATTTATAAACTATTATATAGATATCCTACTATGCATAGATTAGTGTAACTATCCCGCTATTTATAGATTAGTATATAGATATCCTACTATCCATAGATGAGTATACCTATCCTACTATCCATAGATGAGTATAACTATCCTACTATTCATAGATTAGTATAGATATTCTACTATATCCATAGATGAGTATAACTATCCTACTATCCATAGATGAGTATAACTATCCTACTATTCATACATTTTTATATAGATATCCTACTATCCGTAGATTGGTTTAACTCTGCTACTTTCCATAGATTAGTGTAATTATCCTACAATACATATATTAGTATAACTATCATACTATGTTAAGACCGGTATAACTATCCTACTATCTTTAGATCGGTATAATTATCATACTATACAAAGATTAGTATAACTATCCTACTATACATATATTAGTATAACTATCCTACCATGTTAAGATCGGTATAACTATCCTACTATGTTTAGATCGGTATAATTATCATACTATACAAAGATCAGTATAACTGTCCTACTATATCTAGATCGGTTAAACTATCCTACTATATCTAGATCCGTTAAACTATCCTACAATGTTTAGATCGGAATAACTATCCTTACTAGGTTTAGATCGGAATAACTATCCTACTATGTTTAGATCGGAATAACTATCCTACTATGTTTAGATCGGAATAACTATCCTACTATGTTTAGATCGGAATAACTATCCTACTATGTTTAGATCGGAATAACTATCCTACTATGTTTAGATCGGAATAACTATCCTACTATGTTTAGATCGGAATAACTATCCTACTATGTTTAGATCGGAATAACTATCCTACTATGTTTAGATCGGAATAACTATCCTACTATGTTTAAATCGTAATAACTATCCTACTATGTTTAGATCGGAATAACTATCCAACTATGTTTAGATCGGAATAACTATCCTACTATATCTAGATCGGTTAAACTATCCTAATATGTTTAGATCGGAATAACTATCCTACTAGGTTTAGATCGAAATAACTATCATGTTTAGATCGGAATAACTATCCTACTACATTTAGATCGGAATAACTGTCCTACTATGTTTAGATCGGAATAACTATCCTACTATCCCTGTTCTATGGCCTAATTTCTCTTGTGTCTGTCTCTGGCAACTCGACTGTCATCTTTATAGTTGTTACCAGTAGGAGGTAAGAATCTTAATATTAACATTATTATTTTTATTTTTGTTGGCATCAATTTTAGTATTCTTATTATTACCATTATTTATCATAATTATTATTATTATCATTTTCATTATTGTTCTATTTGATTAAAAGATTTAAAACAAATTATAAAAAATGTTGTTCTTTAAGTAAAGTAAACTATTTCATTACAAGTTTTTAATATTTTTGAAGAAGCAAAAAATATACAGAAACAAAATAGAAGCAACATTCATTAAAGAACAAATTGAAAAAATCAAAACTCATTCAGTGAATAACGAAATGAAAAAATATCTAGATCATTCGGGAGTTCGATTTTTCAATTCTTTCAAAACATGTAGAATTTTATTTAAAAAGACGTGACTCGAACAACTTAATACCGACCATATAATTGTACTGTTTTTTATATTAAAAAAATGTTTGTTTTATAAAAAATTTTTTGCTTATTCTTTATTTAATTTTAAAGGGATTTTTTTCTGATTTTGGTGTTTCTAAACTCAGTGTTTTTTATACTAATCTTGATTTATTTGACGATTTTTTTTATTTTTAGCTTACATTAGTGTTTTGATTTAAACAAAAAAAAAATCTAAATAACTTTGAGAATAAAAAATTATTAATTTTCCTCATAATCGTATCGAAGAAGGCTTTAAGACTGGTGCATAATGGATTTGGATATTTTTTCAAAAAAGTGCCCCAAAGTTTTACCCTTACTCATAGTTGATTTATTTACATACATATATAATTGATTTTGTATAAAATACATATTTTTCTCAAATAATTGATTATGAATAAATTTGATCAATATTTCAGAATGCAGTCGGTGACAAACTTTTTCATAGGAACTTTTCAGACATTTAAAAATTTTTTCTTTTAAATTATCTTTCTTTCCTTTCTTGCAAGAGATATTCTAATTTTCAGAAAGTTTGAGAAAGGAGAAGTAATTTCTTTTATTTAAATAAGTCTATTGTCGGAGCACTGACTAATGTTTTGTAATAAATAAACCTTGTGTTTGGCATCTTGCAAACCAGAATAATGATCGTACCAATAAATCTTGGAAAATAAAGATTTCAGCCCACTGAGCAAAATTTTACAAAATTCTGATCGGTTTAGCAAACCTTGCCTTGGCTGATGTAATCATAGGGCTCTTCTCTATACCCTTCAGATTTCAGGTACATAGATAGATAGATAGATTAGTTTTGTGTGGGACCTTGCATGACCCTAGAGAAGGTTTATGCTGTATCCAAAAGCTTTTAATTTTTGTTAACTTTTAAAAATGTATTGGAAACCTCCCGCACTAATATAAAAGTTAAAATAGAGAATTGGCGCCCAAAAGTCCAGTGTTTATATAATCAAACCAAATGAGAGTATTAGAGAGGGCTAACCACATTTACACCTTTATCTTTGTTAACTCGATAAACACCGTGCACACATTTACCCTAAGGTCTGAATTATTGAATAGCAAGAGTAGTTGAACTCTGTACGGACAGTTATGCTACTTTTTTTGCGATTTTTAGTAAATCTTACTTCAGAAGTCTTAAATTTTGAGTTCAATATCCTGGGATTTAAAAGCATTAGCGCTATTTCACCTCTATATATATGAGAAAAAATTAGCTGAAAAATCCATGCTTCCTGGATTTTTCCTGGATCGAATGAATATTGGTAGAAGAGCTCCAACTGAGTCCAACCATACCTAACTAATTGTTTCTCCTAATCTCGACAAGAACCAAACTAATTACTGGGAAACACAGATATTGCAATTTACTAGTGGAACAATAAAAAACTACGGAGTTTAGAGGGAAAGTAGGATAAGGCAGGCAATGTAATTTAAAGATGAAAAGGTCGACTAAAATGTAGAATAAGACAGGAAATGTAGTTTAAAGATAAAAGGCCCACTAAAATGTAAAAAAGACGGGAAGTGTAATTTAAAGTGAAAAGAAGACTAAAGTGTAGAAAAAGACAGGAAATGTAATTTAAAGAGAAAAGAAGACTAAAATGTAGAAAAAGGCAGGAAATGTAATTTAAAGATGAAAAAGAAGACTAAAATGTAGAATAAGACAGGAAATGTAGTTTAAAGAGGAAAAGGAAGACTAAAATGTAGAAAAAACAGGAAATGTAATTTAAAGAGAAAAGAAGACTAAAATGTAGAATAAGGCAGGAAATGTAATTTAAAGATGAAAATGAAGACTAAAATGTAGAATAAGACAGGAAATTTAATTTGAAGATGAAAAGGTCGACTAAAATGTAGAATAATACAGGAAATGCAGTTTAAAGATAAAAGGCCCATTAAATTGTAAAAAAGACAGGAAATGTAATTTAAAGAGAAAAGAAGACTAAAGTAAAGACAAAGACAGGAAATATAATTTAAAGATGAAATGGAAGTCTAAAATGTAGAAAAAGACAGGAAATGTAATTTAAAGAGAAAAGAAGACTAAAATGTAAAAAAAGGCAGAAAATGTAGTTTAAAGATGGAAATGAAGACTAAAATGTAGAATAAGGCAGTAAATGTACTAATCAACTTTTTCTATTTATTTTAGATTAAGGTAAGAGTTGTTAAAGAAAAAGATTATGATTATACAGGGTGTCCCAAAAAACATGGGAATTCAGTGACGAATTCGATATCGTCTTTTTAACTAATTCTTTGATTTAGTATACTGATACCTACTGAGAAAGCTGTAATCTGTAAGAGTTTCGTCTGCTATGTTCACATTTTGTTTGTTTATGTTTTGACTGCAATAGGTTGTACTTAGTAAAACAAGAAAATTGCAGTATACAAACATAGTAAACTTGTCCGTATTCACTGTTCATCTTGCGGAGACATTAAAGACACATATTTACAGTCTTTTATCCTTTTCATAAAATAAACTCTAGCAGACATAATAATTTTATGGCTTTTGAAATTAGGTATTACAATGCTAATTCATAACAAAGACGATATCGAATTCGTCACTGAATTCCCATGTTTTTTGGGACACCCTGTAGGTTAAGTCAGGAAATGTAAATTGAACAGGAAATAACGACTGTTCGATAAAGAAAGGAAAATACAAACGATGAAAGAACACAGGAAGAAGGTTAAAAAAGACGATTTTGTAAGATGAAATGACGTTGGTATATATTATGCTGATAAAATATCAAATTTGTATAAAAAAAATAATCCACACAATTTTAAAATCTGAATATATCCTGAAAAAGGTACTTGGAAAAGGTAATAAAAGTTATTTCATTTTTTTGAGCAATTTAAGTCGTTGATTGAGTCAAGCAAGGCTTAAAAGTTTACTTCAAGAAGTTGGAAAATAATCCTTAAAGATTGTTTTTATCTTGATGGAAACCTGCATGTAAAGTTTTATTTGATTTAAGTCTACACAAGATCATCTGTTAAGTTTATCAGTTTACGTGCATAGCTGAAAATTAAAAAAAATACGTTACATATATGTAATTACGTAATCCAAAGGTTGCAATTGGTGAGGATTTTTCAATTATTTCTTTTCAACTAAAGCACAAAAACAAGTGCTTTATGGTGTTTAAAATATGTAAGACTAGGTAAAAGTATTTGTGAGTTCGTGATGAAAAATCGAGGCGTAGTGACACTCTAGAGTCGATCCAATCTTGAAACTTTATTCAACTTTTTATTTATCAATGTTTAGGCTGCTCTGCTTCAACGCTGGAATCTTCCCGACTTCATGTGTCCTTTCTGCCCGTTCTTTGAGGTAACCGTACACCAATCAATTAATCATGATTTATTTTAACAAGAGACATTGTCAGCGATCCTTGTTTTTTTTCGCAAAAATCAAAATTTATAAATAAAATTCAAGGAATTCAGGTAAATTAAGTAAAAAATGCCGAAATCGCAAAGTTATTTTATTAAGATTCATTAAAGTACTAATATCTAGATTGATCAAAAACTTTAACCAAACATGATCGATGATTATTGATTATTAATTGCATAAACAATCCATTTGCTCTCAATAATAATAACCTCACTATGACATAAACCAAAAATCAACGATTTTAATTGATATATGCAACAAGAAGGAACTTTTTTCTCATTTAAACATTTTACTAATAATTTTGGAAAACAAAAATGCTATTGACATTTTTATTGATAGGGACAAATTAGAGATACATTTTTCCTTGTGCCCTGCTTCCTGTAAATTGAACGATATATTGTAGAAATTCTAAGATTTAGAGTTGCATATATGCACTTTAAACATTTACAATCTTGGTAATAGTTTCCATATTTGATAATAAAGAAAGTTTTTCTTTCCCTTTTCCCACTTCCGTTCCCCGGGTTTTATCTCAAGCAAAACAAACTTTATAAAAGGAATTTAGAATATATGTAATATTGTTTAAATCAAGGCCCGTGCCAAGAATTATTCAAGAATAGATGGAGGGGTATACAACCAGAAAAAATTATATAAAAAGATATTTACTATAAAAATTGTGTCTAATTTTTATCAAAAATTTTGCATTTTGGTATTGATAGGATATCTGCAACTAAACAGTTTGCTTTTAGTTTTAACTTTTCCAAGTTAAAGGAATTATATTTCTTAGAATATATCATTAAAATATATCATTCAAATATATCATTCAATTATTAAAATATATCATTAAAATATATAATATATCATTATATAGAATATATCATTAAATCAACTTTTACTGTCAAAATAATCAAATCCCTCATTTTTCTTAATGTTTTATGATTAAAATTACAGGAAGGAATTAGAAAGCAGAGAGAGAGTCTTTGTCACAAACTCTGATTTTCTAATCCATATATCTTTGCAACCCAATGTCTATAGATCTTTATATTTGTATATATTTATATATAGATATTTCAAACTATGAATTCGGTTAGATCAAATACACAAAGTTTAAAATAACAAAGGTTTAAACCATCAGGTTGCAAAGATATGGGGATTCGAAAATTTGAGTTTGTGGCAAAGATTCAGTTCCTTTGTAAAATATTTTTTTATGATAATATAAACATTATATGCTTTTGTGTTCACGATACACAACGGCTTTAAGATATTTATTAGACTACTGCAGGAGAGAAAAGTTTTTTCGTTGACTTTTAGAACTCTACCCTTGTTATATGATTTAAAAAATGGCATAACTGTGTTATTGGAAAATCTAAAAAAAGTACCAACAATCGTAAAAAATGGCAAAAAATTCTAAAATTCATAAGTTGCGAATTCGAGTTGAGTCGCTTTTACAGGTTATTAAGATTTTTCGCATTTATCTAGAAATTTATTTTTCCTAGTCACCCTTTAACCCCCCCCCCTTCACCCTACCCCCACTAACGGGCCCGCTTTACTTACAACAATTTTAGATATTTTTTTTAGATTTAACCTTTTCATTGTCAAGCTTTACTATAGTTGCAAAAATAAATCATCTCGGATTATGTTTTGACATAAAGAAAAGAGATTTTGTAAAATTATTTGTTGATACAAAACGCTACAATTGTATTAAAATCATAATAGTTGTTGGAAAATGGTTATTTTTAGGGCCAATAATAGTTTTAATTTAAAATGTATTTTTAAATTTTCAAAACCTTTTAGAAAAATAAAATGTTTAACTCTGGAACTCTAAGATAATGGTTTTCAATAATATACATAAATGTTGGAATAGTTGAAGCGAGGCTAGAATAAACATGTGAAGCATCTCAAGTCTAAATACAAACTTTGAAAAGAATTATTTTTAGAACAGTTGCAAAAAATAAACAGTTCAAATTTGAAGGATATCAATATTTAAACAAATATAACAAGTATCAGCAGAATATTATTTTTAACTTATTAGTAAAAATATGATACTAAATATTTCAAATAAATATTAGAAATACTATAAAAACCTAAATCTTTTGTTGTTTAAGAAGTAAAATTTCTGAAAGAAAATACAAATATGAAGTTTATATAGCAAACATAAATAAACCTGTAGCCCTGTGCAGGATAATTTCAGTTTATCTCTTAAACATACATAATATATATATATGCTGTTTACACTCTCTAGTGTCTTCATGTGTCTAGTTTATGGTGTCTGGTGCGAAAGGTCTGGAATCTAGTGTCTAGTGTATAATTTCCAATGTCTATTGTCTAGTATCTATAAGTGTCTATTTGTCTAGTTTGGTGTTTAGTGTCTCGGATATAGTTTCATCTAATTTCATCTAGTTTCTAGTGTCTAGTTTCTAGAGTCTAGTTTCTAGTGTCTAGTTACTAGTGTCTAGTTTCTAGTTTCTAGATTCTAGTTTCTAGTTTCTAGTGTCTAGTTTCTAGTGTCTAGTTTTTAGTGTCTAGTTTCTAGTGTCTAGTTTCTAGTGTCTAGTTTCTAGTGTCTAGTTTCTAGTGTCTAATTTCTAGTGTCTAGTTTCTAGTGTATAGTTATTAGTGTATAGTTTGTAGTGTCTCTCTTATGTATAGTGTCCAAAGCCTCTAGTTTCAAATGTCTAATGTCTAGTGGCTAGTGTCTAGTTTTCAATATCTAGTTTCTCTTGTCTCTCTAGATTCTAGTTTCATATAGTGTCTATAGTGTTAAATGTCTAATTATATTGTCTGTGTAATGTCTATGGTCTAGTATCTTGATTAATACAGTGTCTAATGTCTAGTGTTTCTATTGTCTGTGTAATGTCTAGTATCTGGATAAATATTATCAATTGTATGGCTAGTGTCCTTACAGTCGTAACTATCTATTATTTAGAATATTTAAGTGTCAAAGAAAAAATTAAATAAGCTCTATCGATAGGAAAATCTTTTTGAAAAGAATTCTGCAAACCAAGATGTGCACGCTCTCACGTAAAAATTGTGCAGTAATTTACCGATTACTCCTGGTTGAGGTAGAAACAAGCAGCTTACAATATAAAAATGTAAATGCCTAGGGCTAAGAAAAGTATAATTAAGTTGGGGAGATAAAACCAAAGGCCAAGGCTTTGCAACACTTTAAAGTCGAGGCTGTCCAAAAAATATGATGACTAACATCACAGAATTATCTAAATCTTAGTATCTAAAGTATTTAGAGTCTAGGGCCGCGCCGGGTGGAAACTGAGGTCTGCCTAATCCGATTACAAAATTAAATTACTATATTCCTTTCAAAGGATTATCTTGGTTCAAACTATAGTACACAAAAATTGATATAGGGACGAATATAAACCAACCCAGTGCTCACACATGCTATATGACTTTTACTGCATAGGTCTTAAATATTATTATGTATAATAAAGCTTAACCTACATTAACAGAAAAATGTCGTTTTATCAATGTCAACCACTTGAAATAATAATTCTCATTGTAAGCATATTTCTTTCCAATAAAAATACATTTTGCTTTTTTGATTTCTAGTTTTGAGGTTTCTTGTGCATCTGGGGTTGTATATTCCTTGACCAGAAAACATAAAGTGTAGCAAAATATTTCCCAAAAACAGTTGTTATTTCAGAGATCAAGTTAGTTGAAAATATCACATGAAGAGTTTATAGATTCTGATATGGTATGCATGCGCTCCATAAACTGATATACGCACACATCCTTTCCCTCTTTAATAATCCTAGGATTTTGTTCTTTTCTACTCTTGTGGGTTTAAAGTGTTGAGAATTTGATTGCATCGAGAGTATTTAAAGTGTGAAGTGAATTGATAGCAATGAAAGTGCTGGGAGTGGTGAAATTGTTAAGTGTGTTTAGAGCAAGGTTGTATAATAAGGTGGGTTACTCTCGATGCGCTCCAATGTGCGGAAAATGTCGTCTCCTAAAATATATGGATAAAAATCTAATATGACGTCATGATCACCTACATAATAAGTGACGTCATATTAGGTTTTTATCCATATATCTAAGGAGACGACATTTTCCGTACATTGGAGTGCATCAAGAGTAACCCACCTTATTATACAACCTTGGTTTAGAGCGTTGCAAATATTAAATACATTCTTAGCTTTGATGGCATTGAGTTGATGAGAGCATTAAATGTGTTAAGAGCAATGAGAGCGTTGAAAGTGTTAAGTTCGTTTAAAGCACTAAGAATGTTGAGAGTGTTAAGAGCGTTAAGAGCAGTAAGAACTTTAAATGAGCGTAAAGCGTTGATTCCTTGAGAGTGTTGAGAGTGAAGAGCGTTAAGAGCGTTAAGAACTTTAAGTGAGCGTAAAGCTTTGATTCCTTGAGAATGTTAGAAGTGTTAAGAGCGTTAAGAGCTTTAAGTGAGCGTAAAGCTTTGATTCCTTCAGAGTGTTAAAAGCGTTAAGAGCGTTAAGAACTTTAAGTGAGCGTAAAGCGTAGATTCCTTGAGAGTGTTGAGAGTGTTTAGAGCGTGAGAATGATTGAAATCGTTAAGTGCATTGAAAGTGTTCATAGTGCTTAAAGTGGTGAGAGTGTTCCGAGCGTTGCAAATGTTTTGAGTGTTGAGAGCACTGATATGAATTTATTGTTGCGAACGGATATGAGTTTATATTGTTAATAATAAATAATTTTTATTAAATTTCATATGACAGTTCTGTTATTCATAAAAATAATATTTTCTCAACACAGTCTGTTAATTTTTTTCTTCTTTTTTTGTATAGAAATGAAAGGAAAAATTATAAATATCAAACATAATTTCAAGTTTTTTAATTCGGACAAATACAATTCCTTGAACTCTTAAAATTGCTGGTTAGGTCATGTTACTTATTTAGCTTTTTTAATCTTGTTCTTGAAGACTAATTTCTAATCCTCTCTAAGAAAATATAGAAAGCCATGATTCATTGAATGTATATCATCTAATGTGGTGTGTGCTGTACAATGAACAGTACTCTGAGCACTGTACACTGTACAGTCTACAGGTTCAAATAACAGACAATCAAAAACAAGAGTTAAGTAACTAATCTGATAGTTTACTTCATAAATCATTGGAAACAGTAAAATAACGCAGTACGCAGGTATTTCATAACCAGTTAAGACAAGTTAGTTAACCCGACCTAATCTGACCTAATCCAACTTAATGGGACTGGTCATGTAAAGAGCAGCTAGATAATCCGACCTAATCTAACTTAAATCGAGACTAGTCATGTTATGACCAATTATGTAATCTGACGTATTCTGACGTAATCCGACCTAATCTGACTTAAATCGAGACTAGCAACATTAAGACCGATTATGTAATCTGACGTATTCCGACGTAATCCGACCTAATCTGACTTAAATCGAGACTAGCAACATTAAGACCAATTATGTAGTCTGACGTATTCCGACGTAATCCGACCTAATCTGACTTAAATCGAGACTAGTCACATTAAGACCAATCATGTAATCTGACGTATTCCGACGTAGTCCGACCTAATCTGACTTAAATGTTTGTTGACCCGACGTAGTTGGTTGCTCGGGCAGATGAACAAAATAACAGTTCAAATGAACAAAATAACAGTTCAAATGTACAAAAAAAAACTATTTAATTTGATTTTTTTAGTTCGGTCCTAGTGTTAGATTTTTAACTATTTTTTATCATACAATTGATATTTATTTGTATTATTTCTAAGTTAAATTAAAATTAAGTTAAATTAAAGACATCAACAAAAATATTAAAAGTCTATATTTGAAAAGTCGTTTAAAACATTTATAATTTAAATGAACTCCAGTTTCTCGTAAACAGTTGTTGTAAATTCATACCAAGGGAATTCTTTATTGCTTAACGTATTTCTAGTTTGACGTTACATTATACATGTTTTATTGCAATCAAGTATTATTTCATATTTACGTTGTGTTTTATTTCATTTTGTGTTTATATCTAAATAAACAACTAAAAGGGTAGTTTACAACAATAACTTTAACTGTCATTTTTTTTTATTCTTATCTACATTGATCACCAAAATTGAAACAAATTATTAACAAAATACTGTGATTTTTTCCTTCACTATGGATCAAATAAACCCAAAATCCCAAAATAAGTTTTTATTTTGTGTTATACAGTCTACTTTTTCTTCCTTCTTCTATACACATATACCTTGATACAAATACGCGGCGTTTGTACATCAGACAGTTCAAACAAAGATATTTGAACCATGTTTCCTTGGGGCATACTTATCGTTAAAATAAAATAAAAACATCGTTTAAAAATTCATAATAATTTGTTCAGAGTGTTAGTGTTAATGCGAGTATATTCACGCTTACAGCCATAGCAGTCGATAGATACAGGTACAGTTGTTATCATTATTATTGCAGTAATAATTACTTTCATTGACAATCATTAACCATAATTATTGTTATTATCGTATTGAGTTAATTGAGTAAATTGAGTTAATCAAAACGTTTTTCAAGTTGAGTTTTGCCTTTTTTTGCAAAGAAAATGATATATTCCTTTAAAATTGCTGGGTTTTTTTATGGTAAGCAAAAACTTTCATTGAAACCCTCTAATCTAAAATTTATCCAGTATTTATCCAGTTCCATGTTAAAATCAGCTCTTCACAAAGTAATGTCATTTTAACGGGATTCAAAGATAAACCCGAAGGCGAGGGGGTAAAATTTCCCTCGGTTCTAATTTTTCGGAGAGTGAATAAAAAGTAACATACTACTCTTTTCTCTTGATCAACACAATTATCATCATATGTAGAAAAAGGTCAAAAACTGTCTTGTTATTAATTATTAAAATATGTATCTTTGAGAGCTCCTGTTTAGCTTTTTACAGATAAAATTGCCGTGTTTTCTTCAATCTTAATGTATTTTTTGACTAATACAATTTAACAATAAAAAATATGAAAGAAAAAAACATACTTGGGATAAAAGCAAATATAATGATATTAATAGTCATAGAAATAAAGATAATGATTATTCTCTCTTTTATTCTCATGATCATTAAATGTTGCTCTTTAGAAGCTTAAAAACATAATTCAGAGGCCGAAATTAAATAAATTTGAGACGCGGCTCAAATATGGTTTGTTCCATTTAAAATTGTATTCAATTCTGACTCATGTTAATTTTGTTGGGCAAAACCTTATTTGATCCACATTTTCTTAATTTTAAATAGCGCCCTTACTTGAATTCAAAGCAATTTGAATTAAATTTCCCATGCTTGTTCAATGTTTAATCTAAATTCCGTTGTGCCAAGTAAGCATTTTCATTTTTAAAGAGAGAAAATAAAATTTAGACTCAAGTGTGTTTCTTATTCTTTAATTTAACCTTAAAGGGAGTGACCGGCTATGTAAGGTAGTTGAACTGAGTATGCAGTGTTGTGGAAAACTTCTTTCGGATTCATTTGAGACATATTGAATATCATGTTCATAAAGGTTTATGAATTAGTTATTCTATTATAATACCGGATATATGAGAAATAGCCTTTACCATTCGTGATAAACCTAATATCTTCCAACTAACCTTAATATACTTCTAGAATTATTTTTATGATATTATTATTTTCCAGGTTATTAATTTTGTTTTGTTTAGAGCCATTATCTACCCATTGAAGAGCCATGCCAGCAAATTCAAGACAAAAGGAGCATTAAACATTTATAATTAAGAAATGGTTAAATTCCTTAATATGATAAATTTTAATGCAACAAAATTATAAAATCTATCATATTATTTTTTTAATGTTTGATGTATTAGGAATAATTCTGGGTATCTGGGTAGTCAGCACTATCTTAGCCATACCTATGGCAGTTGGGTACAGAGTAGAGGTAGGTACTAGTAGGGTACAGAGTAGAGGTAGGCACTAGTAGGGTACAGAGTAGAGGTAGGTACTAGTAGGGTACAGAGTAGAGGTAGGTACCAATAGGATACAGAGTAGAGGTAGGTACTAGTAGGGTACAGAGTAGAGGTAGATACTAGTAGGGTACAGAGTAGAGGTAGGTACTAGTAGGATACAGAGTAGAGGTAGGCACTAGTAGGATACAGAGTAGAGGTAGATACTAGTAGGGTACAGAGTAGAGGTAGGTACTAGTAGGGTACAGAGTAGAGGTAGGTACTAGTAGGGTACAGAGTAGAGGTAGGTACAAGTAGGGTTAGTGAGTAGAGGTAGGTACTAGTAGGTTACAGAGTAGAGGTAGGTACTAGTAGGGTACAGAGTAGAGGTAGGTACTAGTAGGATACAGAGTAGAGGTAGGCACTAGTAGGATACAGAGTAGAGGTAGGTACTATAGTAGGGTACAGAGTAGGTTATGGAACTAGAGTATAGAGATGAATACCACTTTTATATAAACTTGTGTTTTGTATACAGAGTAGAGGAGGGTACTACTCATATTATACAAAGTTGATTGTAGAAACAAGTTTACGGGTTTGGGTGAGTTTTGATGAAATATCTTTTTTAACCCAGGATATTTTCTTTATCTTTTATTATCTTTTTATCTTTCAAACCATCCTCATACACCTTCCCTTCCTTCTTTTAAGAAGCCTATCAAGCTCCATCAATCTTTTATATATCCATCCATCAGAGCTGGGGGCAGAGGGGAGGGGGGGGAGGAGGAAATGGATTTGGGATTATGGAGGAGGAATATAATAGTTTAGATGTGAGGGGTAAGAATGCAGGTAGCTAAGGTATAACTTTTATTGAGCAAATCCCTTCAGAAATAACTAATCCGTATTATTCCGGTCAGACGGACCTTATAGGTTGTCAAGTACAATAGACGGCAACACAGAATGCGTACACTTTCAGTACAGATGTTTAAACGTCATAAGTGTCAACTCAAATTTTCTGTCTGACAAAACTATAAATAAAAGTGATATTTTTAGACTAAAGTGCTTATCTTTAAGTGAAATTAGTGCAATTTTATATGTTCTTTATTTCTGTTTTTACACTTTTTCATTTAAAACAAGGTAATCCAAATGATTTTTTGTAAAATTCGAATAAGGTATTACTGTTTCAAAAAGTTAGAAGTCTAAGTTTTTAAAAAAATTAGCTGGCTTTAGAAATTGAGCAGTAAACCTATAATAACCCTAGAAATATTTACTTTAATGCTATTTTTCTGTTGCCATCTATTGTACTTGACAGCAGCTATTTGGGACGGACTGAGTTAATTCCTTTTGAATACCTCTAATAATGCTCTTTTGGATTAATCAATAGTACAGGCCTTGTACACACACTCCTCTGCTGCTTTAGTAATTGTAAATTGGCGATACACTCCAAAGTAGGACTGCAAAGGTTGGCACAGCTAGGATATTCAAATGTACGCCGGTGGGGCGTGTGTACATAGGCGCTACCTCAAACTAAACATCTCACCTTAGAGCACATAGAGAGTAGTATAGTGGTGTATAGGAGTGGAGAAGTGGTGTATAGGAGTGGAGAATATGTGGAGAAACAGTTTTAAAATATCAAGAAAGGTTGTTGAAGGAGAACTAGTCTAATGAGATGACAAGGATCCAAGGTTTGGTTTGATTGTCAAGATTGGCTGGAGGAACAGAAAGAATGATAAAGTAGGAACTTCCAATCAACTCAATTCTATGTTTTCCGTTCATATTTGGTTTCATAAAAAGTTTATTGCAAAAGATTTAAAAAACAAGTCCTTAAATTTTTTCTATTCTCTACAGACATATGTACATTGTAATTTGTAGTTTGTGCAGTCGTCTGTAAAGTTTGACACGTTTTTTTCATGGGAACATAACATTTGTATCCTATATATACAGATTACACTCACTACATTACAGTACGTGTACAAAAGGTTTTATTTTCATTTTGCAGTACATGCGTGATAACCTTGTACAATGCTTGCCATTCAACATCAACAACACAGTGTTTATCTGGTACATGAACCTACTCTGTCTAGTACAGTACTTCATTCCTGTTGTACTTATCAGCTTCGCGTACATCAGGTAATCTTAGAGTATCAGTTTACACAACATTGAGAGTGAATCTATTAATGTATAACTGTATCTAGAATGGTTATGAATCTATAAACGTATGAATGTATCTAGAATGGTAATGAATGTATGAATGTAATAAAAAAAGATTATAATTCTATAAATGTATGAATGTATCTAGAATGGTAATGAATGTTTGAATGTAATAAGAAAGATTATAAATCTATAAATGTTTCTAGAATAATAATCAATGTATAAATGTATGAATGTATCTAGAGTATTCCCTTGTATGAATGTGTCTAGAATGATAATGAATGTATGAATAAAAGAATGTATAGGTGAATGAATTGGTGAATATATAATGAATGGGTGAATTGTTATAATGAATGTGTGAATATATAATGAATGGGTGAATATATAATAAATGTGTGAATATATAATGAATGGGTGAATATATAATGAATGGGTGAATATATAATGAATGTGTGAATATATATAATGAATGGGCGAATATATATAGTAAATATATGAATATATGTATGTATCTAGAATGGCTGTAGTTCTGTGGGGTAGTAGGACTCCTGGTACAGCACAGATCGAAAGAGACAGAGCCGTCACAAATAACAAGAAAAAGGTTAGAAATTAGAAACAAACAAATTTCATAAAATAAAAAATTGTTAACAAAAACTCGAAAACTTTTGTCACATCAGAGCTCACATGTTTACCTGAAAGTGTGAATCGTATCAATCGTAAATATTTTCCTTTTAAATATCACAAATTGAAAATTAAAATAATCTTCCTTAATCAGATAACAAAATTCTGCAGTACAAGTTTAGTTTACAAACAAATACCAAAATTTCTTTAAGACTGTACTGCGTTAAGGTGAACGTATGCACGCGTAAGGTTTTAACTATTGTACAATAGAACCTGAACGCGTAAATCCCTTGATGCTTAAATATCAAAAAAAAGTATTTTTACATAAACATCTTCCAGATTTTGTGACATATAATTGGTTTTATTTTATTATCTGCACTTTCTTACACAAATTTTTCAAAAAAAGTGTCGTTATATTAGTCAGTATGGCGGGGTAAACATATTCTTTCAAGTTAACACAAAACTGCTAAAAAATACTGCAAATGAAGGAATCAATCTTTGAAAGTATTAAACAAAGATGTAACTTTGAAGTTACAAATTTATGATTATAAATTTGGAAGTGTCACCTTCATAAAACTGCATCAATGAGTGGGGAAATGCCACAACAAGTTCTCGTACGAAATCAAACTATTTTTCTCAAATCTTGACAGTTAGAGTATGATATTTGGTATAGGTTAGAATAATGTCGAAATCTTCGAATCTCTGAAAATGGTACTTTATTTAGATAAAAATTATATCTCTTTTGCCTACGTTAAGCCTAACTTCATGATATAAAATAAAAAATATTTGCCATATACCCTCTGCCTTTCGATATTATTTTTAATTATCAAAATTTGATTGAAGTTATATGAACTTATAATAATACTAGGAATATATAAAACTTGAAACTTTAATTCAATTGAAACTTTTTTTTAATTTACAAAAATTCAATATAACTCATTTATGCTCTAATATGGCAAGATTATTTGACACTTAAAAAATAATATGGGAGGGACGAATACTTTGAGGTGGCTGAGACCAGTAAATGTGTGGCCCCAACGACAAATTGTGGCTGGCCTTCCTCCCCTCAAGCAACCCAATTTCATTTAATCTCAATCTACTGAAAAATCTTAATTAATTAGGTTTGCCGAACAGGATTTAGAAACACTACTAATATCATTTTCCTCATTTTTTAACCGCGAGGGCAAACGCAATTGAGAGAAAAAATAAATAAAACATATGGATGAATAAGATATAAATATGAACTAGGTGATCAAGATGTTGATGGTTGTGGTGTTGATGTTCTCCTTGGCTTGGTTACCTCTACACATATACAACGTTCTCATGACAGTGTTCCCTAACATCAACTAGTAAGTAGTTTTATCATCAGACTTTTCTTTGACATAACTCTTATTTACAACGTTTGAACTCGATTTTACAGTAAAAACTTTTAGCTAAAAGCGATTTTGTACTTAAAGGAACAGTACACGTGATTTTAAGTGATCCTCCATGCAAAGAGGGAATTATACCCTTTAAACCTTATTGAGTTCGTCGAGCACAGAGATCCAAATTACGCCAACAGTCTTTTTGAGCCTTTGAAAACAGCTGTCTTTTGCTTTTTGCGATCTTTCAAAAAGAACAACTTTATTACGTCATCCAACAAAACATAATCTGAACGTAATCCAAAGAGAATACATTGATCCAATCCAATCGAATGATTCTGTGATCTATTCACCTGCAGTAAAGTAAGCTTGGTTCTGACAGTTACCCTGCACAACTTTCCCGCTCCTGTCGTCTTTAGTCTTCATTTTACATCTTCAATTATAAAAGAAATCATGTTTGACTAATCCCCAAAACTAGAAACTAGTTTCACTCCGGGAGCTGAGTTCTTATCTTAATTGTAGAAACTAATTAGTTTCAAGAAAAATTAGCTTTTAAGGCCTGGGAGCTCTTATCTTAGGTTTTTTTTTCATCTAACTCCTAAATTTTAGAAAATCAGTTGGTACGACAATGAATTATCTTTTTTATCTTTGTAAGATATGCAAAGCTTTGCAGTGCAGAGATATTTTGAATTTTTTTTAATATATTTGCGATTTTCCTTTTTCCAATTTTTCAAGTGCAAGGAAATTTGCAATGTGTAGAAAATTTTACTAAAAATCAAACCATAGAAAATGATGATGATTCTGTAAAAAAGAGATATAGATAACTTAGAGTAGATAATTTGCCTACAAGCTATGAAATCTTGTTTGTACGTATGGATGGATTTAATATATCTGAATATACGCATTGATTAAAAACAAATTAGTTAAGAGTTTAGATATAGAATAAACACACGGGTAGCAGTAGTACATTTGAATTTCCGAGCCGGGTCAACCTTTCCGGTCCCAGTTTGTACTGTATCGCCCGGACATAGGGTAAATAAAGCAGACACTCAATAGGTCTAGCCGGTGCAACAAGGTTGACGCGGTCAGACTTTAGGTTGAATTTACTTTTACTAAAGGGTCAGAGGTGCGTGAACATGGCTAACAGACCAATTTCTTAGGATTTTTCCGTGTTTTTTTTGTGAATTTTAATTTTTTGACGGTTTTGACATCTGAGTTCTGACAGGCTAGAGAACTTCTTGGAGGTCTTTCTCGGTTCAACCGTTTAGACATTCATTAGATGCAGCAAGCAAAAGAAATCAGCAGACAACCCAAATATATATTCTATATAGATATATAAGTATATATATATGATATATTTATGTATATCAAATATGTATAATGTTTGATGGATAAATACCATGTGCTGCATAATGCTTTATTTTTTCATTTTTCCTAGATCTTCATTTCTTTCTTTAATTGGATTAAACGTATATTTTTAGTTATTTACTTGCACTCAAAAAATAAAAGAGGGGTTTAAAAGAATATTTAGATTTTTAAAAACCGAAAAGTTTTTTTAAAGCCTACAATACTTATCTTTATATAAAAAAAGATTTTTTTGTTGCTTATTTGATAAAATATTGAATAGAGGACTGAAAGTCGGTTTACTGAATAAGCAATTTTATATATCCCGTCACAAACTTAAAATAGTTTCGGGTTTTAAATCATTTAAATCAAAAATATCAAATCCGATATCAAATCTGGGTTTAATTGAGATATGTTTTAAAAATGAGAACAATATTCTTGAAGTAAAAGGTATCCGTGATATTGTGGGTGAAACACCAATTCAGTCCGAATCTATATATAAATTTGGCTTGTCTGTCTGTCTGTCTGTTTGTTTGTATCCAATAAACGTCAAAACGGCTGAACCGATCGGGCCCAAATTTTGTGTGGGACCTTACGTGACCCCAGGGAAGGTTTATGAATGATCAAAATTTTAAAAATTTGTGTTTAAAAGTTTTTAGTTCTGTAAAATTGTTTAAAATCTTGAAAATCCGCGATTTTTTTTCATAAAATCCGCGAAATTCTTTTCTTCTTTGTTTTTACAATGAGAACACGTTCACACATGAAATAGAAGATGGGCGCGAAGCGCCCTTAAAGCCTAGTATATATATATATACGCTACATGTCTGGGTGTTTGGTTGTTTGTTTGTATCCAATAAACGTCAAAATGGCTAAACTGATCGGGCCAAAATTTTTCGTGTGACCTTGCGTGACCCCAGAAAAGATTTATGGATGATCGAATTTTCAAAAATTTTCCTCTAACAAAATTCGATTTCTGAAAATTCTGAAAACCCACGAAATTCTATTTAATAAAATTCGCGAAATATTTGTTTGTTTTTGTTTTACAATGTATTCAAAGAGATCCCGCTATGCAAGAATATTGTTGGAATGATAAAAAACATCAATAACATGAAAACCCCGTCATTAACGTTCAGATTTTGTTAATGGATTCATTCAGGGCTCATAGTTACATTCAATAGAATACATATATATTATACAAGTAGTACTAATTTAAGTTTTATTTAAGTTATCCTTACATCAACATTATCTGGTTCTGTTCCCACTGGCTGGCGATGTCCAACTCTTGCTACAACCCGTTCATCTACTTCCTCTGCAACGTAATAATCTTAATTAAGTTTTTTTTTCAAATATTTTTTTAATACATTATTTTATGGTCTACATGCAAAGATGTGATTACATGACTTATAGCAGGGTAACAACAGGGGTTAAAGAGGGGGAGGGGGGAGATACAGGGAAATAGATAGTGCAGAGTGGCATTGAAAGAAGGGAGAATTATATAATAGTCATGACTTTTCAGAGCGCTCCGTGGTTCTTTTTTCTCGTAATTATTTTTGAAAAAGTCGACCAGTCTTGTCTTGCACAAGTTCCACAAGGAGGGCGGGGTGGGGTTGGGAGAGGGGGGGGGGCGAGAATTAAAAGAAGATGGGGTTCTGATGGGATTTCTTGTACGTTCAAATGATTTTGGGTGACATGATATTGATATTTTATTCTCACTGAAATTTCACTTGGAGGGCATCATTCATTCATCAAAATAAGTACTTAAAATGAACCGGAATTTACAGTGTACACCAATGATTAATGAATAGAAGGGAATTTTAACTGAAGCGGTTCGCCCTACCATATGATTATATACATGCTGTGCAGACGGTACTTCAAATATTCAGGATAGGTTATTTTATACGCGATAATTGTACATCAGACAAATACTTCTTATTCAAATGAAGTACCGTCTGCAAAGCATGTATAATCATATGGTAAGGCGGGCCGCGTCAGTTTTATCTCCCTTCTGTTCTTTACTCCCAGGTGTACACTAACTTGGCTTACAAAAAAGTAAGAAGTAAAATAAGCATGAATTTAATCACTGTATATAGTAATATATATT